CCCTTTCAGTAATGACAGCATGACTCAAGTAAATTATGTGTTTGGCATAGGGTTAGTGAGACCAATTTTTTCTCGTTTGTCTGAAAAAGGGACCAAACTCTTTTCAGAGTTGGTGGCATATGTGCCAAGTATCTGATTTTAAGCTTTTTTATTTTTATCTTTAGTCTGACGTGCAAGCAGAGCTGTAACTAGGTAAGAACCTTCTGTTTGTGCTGGTTCTTACGGGATGAATAGTTAACTTGATTCCTCAGGCGTTTTTGTTGCCAGCTGTGTTGCCTAGATTAATTCACAGTTGTTATCTGTGTAAGTTTGGTCTTGCAGGTAGAAGGCCAAACTTACTACATATAACGTTAAACAGGTATGGTTTATTGCCACTGCTGTGTGTAGGCAGGAACCCTCTCTGGAAAGTAGTTCTCCAGTTATGTTAATAACCAGTAGTCTTGATTAAAAGTTGTTATACTGCAGTGCATCAGATTTCAGTATCTCAAACTCTAGATGTTAGTGCTTTTTAAACAGCCCATCATTTTCTTCTGGTCCTGTTTAAAAAAATTAATATATAGGTCTGCACATGAAGGCCATAGGAGTAGTAGGGCTCAGACTTGTTGAAATTTAAGTGGTCTTTTTCATTTCTCTCACGAACAGAACATGTTTTTGGCCATTATCAATGATACATACTCTGAAGTCAAATCAGATATGGCCCAACAGAAGGCAGAAATGGAACTGTCGGACCTTATCAGAAAGGTAAAAGTAATGTTTTGTTTGTTTGACATCTCATTCGTCACATCTGAACTTAATCCATAAACCATACAAAGTAAAGCTGACAGCAGCTGCTGAAAATACACATCTCTTAGTTAAAATAAATGAATCTGAGGTGAGTGTAAATTAAAGGAATGAAAATTTTCCATAACAAATATTTTAGTTGTCTGAGACTTTGCATTGACTGATCAGCTTACTGAATATGACATAGGATTTGTCTGACTAGGTACATACAGAAGAAATACTGAACTGATAAAGCTGAAGAGCTGTTTGGTTTGGTCACAGAATTCAGAATAACCTCGTTTCAGGCAATAAGACGAAGCAAGTCTTGGATAATGTGTTGGGAGCTCCTAGGGGCAGTTGCCAGTAAGGTTGTTGAACACCAAGTTGAGCTTGACCTGAACCTCAGTTTAGGAAAAACATGTGCATGTTTGTGCGCTTTGGCATGGATGGGGTGCTGTCCTGTCGTCAGAAATGTCTGAATGCATACTCGGCATGACCAGTAACTCAGTTTAAAACTTGGAAACTGGTTATTAAAACAGAGCAGAGAAAAATGAAAAGTGCTACATTGTTGGCCTGAGGACTTCTAAAAAACAGCCGTTCCTACAACCAAAGAATGAGAGATAAGCAAAATAACGGCAGAAAGTTGTACCTGTTTTGTCAGCGTTATTTAAAACTGTCACTTAGCTGTCAGTTACTGCCGAAGGTGTCTAACTGGGAAAAATGCTCCATCCCTATAGACCTGCAGTGCAAACTGAATGATGAACGCCTTACCTGTAACTGCGAAGGTATTTGTATGCCGCCCATTTAAACTCTGAAATAAAAGATGGATAAACTGGAGGAAAAGACAGGTTCTTGCAGGGCTTTTGGAACTCACTGAATTATAATGTACACTAGGTGATTTTTCTAATCAAAAAAGTTATTAGAAATCAAGTGTAACACTTCATGACATGTAAAACATGAAATTTCACTTTTTCTTTTAGGGCTACAACAAAGCCATGATCAAACTTAAGTTGAAGAAAACTGCTGTTGATGACATTTCAGAAAGTCTGAGACAAGGTGGGGGAAAACTAAATTTTGATGAACTCCGGCAAGATCTAAAAGGGTAAAGAAACTGTTATTTTTTATCTCAAATAGTATCCCCAGAGGCACTTGATGTTGTCTTTGATGTAAGAGTATGCTATTGTGAATAAAGACAACAGAGCAAAGTACTTTTCTTTTGGTTAGTGGGTAACAAAGCATGTGCTTCTCCTGTATCTAGTGGGAGATTTATGTAAACAAACAGACGTGTACAAGTAAACAGTCGTTGCACCCGAGGTCTGCAGGCATTGCACAAAGGAAAATTCAAACCGTGGCATGGAACCGTGGAAGAAGAGAGAAGAGGAGTGGGAAAAGAATGGTCAATTTGAGGTGGAAGAGAAGTCTTAACTAAGGAGGTCTGCTGAGCTCTGGCCCTTGGAGTCTGCACTACGGCTGGTGTTGCTGCAGCGGGGCAGCATCCCGCACCAATGGAAGAATTTGGTGCTCTGGGGCCCAACCTCCTTGAGTTGCTGTGTTGTGGGGGAGAAGGGATCTGAGGAAGCAGAGATTTAAGGCCCTAGAGGAAACAGTAATGTTTCTGTCAAAGCCACTGCAGGAGTTTGTGAAAAGGCAGGAGTCCAAGGAAAGGGAACAAGTCAAGGAGGTATGAAAGGGATGGTTGTGAAGGAGCAAGATGCAGTCTAGGGGAGATTTGTGCTATTAATTAATGAAAGGTGAGGGCTGAGCTTTTTGTTGTCAGTGTTTTGAATTTATAGGAAGCGCTGGGATCAGTCATGTCTTTGGCTTGGAGATGAAAGTCTGTTTGGAGTGAAGTGTTTTTTCTAATACTTGAAGTTCGTTAAGCATCTGAAAAATTGAAAAGGAACTGTTTTTACTACCTTTTCAGAAAGGGGCACACGGATGCAGAGATTGAAGCAATATTTACCAAATATGACCAGGATGGGGACCAGGAATTGACAGAGCATGAACATCAGCAGATGAGAGATGACCTGGAGAAAGAGAGGGTGAGCTCAGCGTTTAGGAGTAGTACGCCACTAGCACCGTCTGCCAGTCTTCTGCCCCTGCTGGTTTGCTGCCCCAGAAGAATCCTCTTGTTTCCCTTCACATTTGCTCTCATCCCTGACTGTCTGAGCAGAACTGTATAAAGGCAAGGGGCAGCTGATGGAGGGCAGGAGGTCTTTGACCTTGACGCTCCCATCCGCTGTGTACAGGTGAAAGTCTTGACATCTTCTCTGCCTGTGACTTGTATTTTCTCAAAGGAGGATCTGGACCTGGATAGGAGTTCTCTGCCACGTCCTCTGAGCAGCCGCAGCTTCCCCCGGAGCTTGGATGACTCTGAGGAGGATGAGGATGAAGACAGTGGACACAGCTCCAGGAGGAGAGGCAGCAGCTCTAGTGGGGTTTCCTATGAAGAGTTCCAAGTGTAAGTTTTTCCTTCTGAGGAGAATAAATCTGCCTGGTGGTTGGTTGTGTTTTTTTCCTTGTGGATTTTCTTCTTTCAGTTATATAGCAGTGTCTCCTATAACTGCATATTAATCAAATTATTCAAAAAAGTAAGTGGTATGTTTTTAAGGTGCTTAAGTCACTCCTTCTAGTAGCTTTCAACCAATATCTGAACTGAAAGTACTTTAGAGAGGCTCATGGGAATCAGAAAACAAAAAACAAATCAAACAAACAAAAAAACCCTTGTCCTTAACACCTGGCCATGGAAAAGACAGAGAAAATGGTCATGCTGCACTAACATCAGGAAACTTCTGTGGTTTTTTTAGTAGTAAAACCTGGAGGTGGTTTTAGCTTTAGTGAGAACTTCAGCTGTTGTTTTTAATAAGATTAAGTTACTTGTGAGCATGTATTTTACCTAAAATGATAGATCTCTGTATTAATTATAGCAACACTAGCTGAATGAAGAATTTGAGTGACTAGAAGCAACAAATTTTGATAAGGATGCCCTAAAAGCAAGGAAAACAGAGTGTAATATGTACTTTTTTGCCATCTGCTTTACACCTGTGTTATCTCCTTGTTCTTGTGTACCTTGTCCTTTCCTGGACAGTAGGTCTCAGTTGTGGAAAGTCAGATGCGTGCTTGAATTAAAGTGCTGTCTCCTCCGTACCTGCTCTGTGTGTTGATGTGCTAGAACCATGCTGACTTGGAAATGTCAGAGTCACTGAAGCTCACACTTGTTGCCCTCAGACTCATGAGGCGAGTGGATCGCATGGAGCATTCTATTGGCAGTATTGTCTCCAAAATCGATGCGGTTATTGTGAAGCTCGAAGCAATGGAGAGAGCCAAACTAAAAAGGAGAGATGTGTTGGGAAGACTGTTAGATGGAGTGACAGAGGTAAGAAACCCACTCTGTCCTGTCTGGTCACAACCTGCATGGCTTGCTTACTGCTAGCTGTTCTTCCTACTGCTTGGCTTGGGAGGGTTGAGGGAGTGGTGGTAAAGACAAGGCGGGTGCTTTGGCAGTGGCCAAGTGACTTCAGTTTTAAGTTAGGGATACATTAAATTCAAAACGTGAAATGTTAGGGATGTGGTGCAAGTTTCAGATATGACAGCGCATCTTATAGCAGGCCTGTGTCATGCTGAGGCAACAGAGCACCATTTAAACGCCTGAACTGGACAGCAGTGACGTTCAGTAGTTGCTGAAGCAGCTCATTCATCCCTTGGTGTCCGTTGGGATTACTACAAAGCTTTTTATGGACTAGGCTGTTAGAGTCTGGGGGACCCACCCCAGCATGCCTGTGCAGCCTGCTCTTCTTCTCCTGTGCTGCTTCTGTGATTGCGTGTGGCAGGTGGAAGCAGGTCACTTCTGTCACCAGGGTTATCTAGCTTCTCTTGCCTCCCTTCCCACCGTCTTGAGGGCTGTTTGAAAGTGGCCAGTGGGACAAATGTGTTATTTCTATGGACGCTGAAACTTGTCAGCTTCCGAATGGGGCAAGAACAGCCATAAGAGGGCTGCTAAGGGGTGGATGAGATGCACTGTCTTGGTGGGTTATGTAGGTCAGGCTTTGAGATGCGGTGTTCCTGGCTGTTACTGTTGTTCCAGCCTATAATTCTGCTTGATTCTTGAGATGGGACTTCCTTGTGGATGTGCTCTCCTCAATATAGTTTACATTTCTGGAGATGGATTTAAATATTAGAAACTGTAATCGTGCTTTCGTAAGTGAAGGTGACAACCAGGACATTACGTCCCTGGAAAGAAAACAACTAACTGCACTAGCTGTGTTTCTCCACTAGACTATGGAAATACTTGAGGATAATAATAAGAATTAATTAATAATAAATAAATAAATAATAAAATAAGAACAATAAGCTTTTCCCATGTTTGTATAGGGTTTTGCTTAGATCGCAGTTTGGAAGCTGTGCTTCCAGCTTGTGTCTTTTAATCTGTGCAGGATGAAAGACTGGGTCGTGACAATGAAATCCACAGGGAACAAATGGAGCGACTTGTGCGAGAGGAGCTGGAGCGCTGGGAATCGGATGATACAGCGTCTCAAATGAGCCATCGGTTGGGAACACCACTGGGACTGAATGGCCAGCCTCGTTCGAGGAACTCTCGGCCATCTTCCTCCCAGTCGGATGGTATTGATGGGGGAGGAGGAAATGGGGGGAATAACATCCACATGTAGGCTTAACTTTGTAGGCTATGCTGAATGTTTCAGGTCAGTATTAAGCCAGCAAATACACTACTCCATTGTTTCCCAGCATGAGGTGATCATCCTGATCAGACCACTAAGGACAATTTTCACTGGTGGGCAAAAGCAAATATTCTCTTCATAAGGCGTTTTCAGACATATGTAAGCCATGTGTCACATTCAAGTTACCAACAGTGAGGCTGTCAGCCTTGGAAACGAAAATGCAGGAGATGGGATGGAAACCAGGTATGACAAAATCTACCTGGACAGAATTTTGGTTCCATACATGTATTATGGGGAACACTTTTGTGAGGGCAGCAAGTTTCAGAGGAAATAATGTGCTGTGGCTAAAACACTCAGATGAAAGGCTGTGTGTTTTCTGCTTTCTATTGGAAAATAAGATTTTTTTAAATGCTTTTAAAAGCAATTTTTAAAAGATGGCATCAGTTTATGGTCTCATTCATTATAACAGCTGACACTTTTCAAATATAAAATATTTGATAATTTAGATAAAGCAGCACTTTTTTTTTACTTTGAGTTTCTACCTATTTTTCTGAGTTGTTCTTGGTGTACTAACATTTTGATGAACTTATAATTTTCATTTTTTACTGTTCTTGAGAAATATTATGTTTCTGTAAACAGAAGAAAGTGCACTTAGCTTGTACAACTGTAAAGCACATTATTCCATAATAGAAACTGTATGCATTACATGTTTTTACATTTCATTCACATTTCAAAAGCAGTATTTGAGAACACCCAACTAACAATCATTTTTAGCTTTGTTGCAAAGTGCCCATTTCTTAATGCTATGTTTTCATGATCTAGGTGTTCCTGGGATAAACATTCCATGGGTTGTTAAGTAAATATGATTACTTTGCAGAATGTATTATTTTAAAGCACACAAAATTGAGAAAACACAAACTCTTCCTTTGGTGTGACTGGGAAGGGGACAGAGAAGTTGCTGACAGTTCGGAAAATCCGATCTCATGCTCTACCAGGTTCTAATCGTGTCTCGACTATGTAGTCTGTATTTACATTTAACAGAACTGCTTGTAAAATTATTAAGTATATTTCTACGTATGCTTTTCTGCTGAGGTGCAACACATGATTCCTTTGGAAAGGTGTTTGTACTATAATCACTGTTTTTAGTATTTCATTTCCTCTGCTTTCTGTGTCGCAGAAGATTTGTTTTTGAAAGGACATGCAACACAGTTTATGTTGGTTTCCTATAGAAAGCATTGAGGCATAGTGTTTGTAGTATTGCCTAGCAACATGTTTCCATATGTGGAATGCTGGTTTAAGAGGGAGGTTGTCAACTGTGCTTTTTTTTTCCGGAAGGTGACAGTTGTCTTGTCTTCAAATACTTAGAGTTGGTGTAAAGGAAAATGGAAAGCTACGTAATCAAACACATCTTAGTTATTAGTAGGGTATATAGAAGAAAAAAATGCCTATTTAACAAAGCTTAAGGAGCATATATATGTTATGTGGGTGCTTTTTGTTTCAAAAAGCAACCATTGCCAGGGGTTAGCACCTTGTTCTTGGGGTAGTACTGCTTAGCCAAAGCTTACATCTTGCATACATTCTTACAGCTGCATCACCTGGATGTGCAGTAACTCAGAATGCCATTCCTCTAACCGGAGAAGTTGCTAAAACTAAATAGACTTCATGCCTTTCCCTATTTTTAAGTTTATGAGAAACCGCATGCACAGAAAGTTAATGTAAGGTGGAGCCGGAGGAAGTTCAGTGTGGAGATTGGAATTTCTTAGTAGCTTTGGCTCGAGAACAGAATGTGGGAAAACAGGTTGTGATTCTTGTGATTTTTCTCTTTCTGTGGGTTATTTTGTCCTGTACTAGGAAGAAATTCGTACTCTTTCACAAGAGACCCTGTCATCTTCCCAAAACAGCGCACAGCACTGTGGTTAGGGCATTGATGTGAAACGAGAGGCAGTCAGACTAAGGTCTGGCTTGCCTTGATTGAAAGTTTTTGGACCTTAGAAACCTTCCTGAGGAAAGCTTTTCCATGTTGAACTGGCATTTCTGACTTTAAATAAACAAACAAACCAAAAAACACACTAGCTGTACACATGGCCAGCTGGTGTGCAAGGAAAATAGAAAATACAATACAAAGCAATTTAAATATACATAGTCTTGTCTTTATACTCGTATCCAAAATGTGTAGTGTGTTGGTATGTGACATGATTTGCAGCTTAAACTTTGAGGTATGCTAACTAATCACATGTGTATAACGTGTAATTGGTGTTGGGTTTCTAGGGTAAAGGGTTACCTAAATGCTAAGATTGTATTTAAGTAATTATGTACTCAAAATCAATGACTTTGGCCAAATGACCCAACTCGAGTTGTCCAGCAATCAGCTGGAACCTTATTAAGAATACCTTGTGCTAAGGTTTGTGCCTGTGGCCTTTAAAGTACGTGGCATGCTGAGGCTTATGGTGGCAGGGACTGGGGAGTGTGCAGGAGTAATCCAGTGGTCATCTGTTGGTGAGGCAAGGCCTTCCTCGGGGAAAGAAGGCAAAACTCAACCTGTCAATATGGTTTAAAATCAGTTTCCTGTAAAAATGTATCTTTCAAATGTAAATTCAGTCGCACAGTTCATCTTTTATTTGTAGTGTATGTTTATTATGAAGAAGTTTGCATTCATAGCTATATTTGAGGTGTATTTCTGTAACGTGTCGTTACTTAATAACAAACTTCATCTTGAAGTGCAGTAAGTTTTCATGGGGTACCCGTGTGTTGACAGTGGGCCTTGCAGTAAGTGCATGGCCACTTGACAGATGTTACAAACATTTTATTATTTCATTTTTCAACTTTAGATTATAATATCCTTTGTCACTTACTGCAAAGGTAAGATTTTTGCATAGTAATGTACAGTGTTTGGTCTTATTAGGAAGCTGTTAATTATGCAAGTCTTCTACAATGATCAAGAATGTATTGATCTGTAAAACTGAGCACTTTACTTCCTAATAAACGTTTTATATAATCTATAAAGCAAACATTGTGCCATACACTTGGTTTGTTTATAACAGAACATTAGGAATCCTACAATTTATTTGTGTGTGTCGCTTCTATCTCATATCCTATTTTCAGATTACCTAATAACGTAAAAAGGGAGTACAGGGTGTAAATGAACAGAGAGGACTGGGCTGATCCTACTGCTTCATTGCCCAAACAGTACTTTTTTTTTTTTCTAATGCTTTGTTTCACATTTGTGTTTGTGCAAATACAGAGGTCTGTTTTCTGCTATTTGAGGTAGCAGCTCCAACTGCTAGTAACTCTGACCCTTTAACTTACACAGCAACTGTGAAGTAATTACTTGTCTACTCTCTTTCTCTATTCTCCTTTATTTTTTTCCCTTTGTTTCAGGGAAGCCTACAGTATCTGGAGGGTTGAATGGTCCTTGGAAATCCCAGGCTCGCATATAAGCCCCATAGTTCTGTCTGGGCAGCTATCTCACCATAATAATGAAAATTGAATGCTTAATGTAAATCCATCTCAGTCTTTAATGAAATGCATACATACTGAGTTTATTAAGTATATTAAGCCTTTAGTTAGTGTGCTATAAAAGGTACAGTGTGTGGAAAGTGGGAACCTTTTCTTATTTAATACTGAGTATATGCCAAGTGTTGCTGACTTTTGAAAATTTATTCAGGAAGTGCAGTTTGAGATGCATGTTTGGAATAAGAGCCACATAATTCTTCCATATCCCACAGGCATCACTTGGTTGCCTTGTGTATTCAAATACTCTTCTCCAGTAAATCTACACAAGGAAAAAAAAAGAGAAAAAAGTTAAAAAAAAGTTAAAGCTATGGTAAAATGTCCACAAGCAATTGTAACTTGTATATTTAGGCACCAATAGGGCTTTTTTGGTTCCCCACTTATATAGAACGTGCAGTGTGAGCGAAGAGAATAGCTATTGGGAGTGGAGTCACCCTTCTCCAGAGCCTGTTCCGCAAGTACTCCATCAGGACAAGGCTTATGCTGTTTGTGTCCCTGGCACCTCCTCATAGAACACCTCTGGCCCTGCTGCGGTCTGCAGGGCAGCGACGAGCCCCCCTTGGAAACACGAGTAATTGGTGGCAGGAAGACACATAAGCAGCACTGCTTTCAAGAGGGAAGGCAGAGCCTAACATTTCAGAGACACTTAAATTGCGACCGTCTCTTTTCCAAACTGAATTGCTGAAATTCTGACACTTGTGAACCGTTCTTCCCTTTCTGCACACAAACTGTATTAATTTAGAAGGACAGTTGTCTTCTGTTTTGCTAAAAACGTTTTTTAGTAGTAACTCGGATTATGCCCTCTTTTTACCTGAAAGATGCTGTAGGTGGCTAGAACTAAAAGTGGTAATTGCTAGCAAACAAGTGATGAAGCATTATTTACTAAAGCATGCTAAATAGAAGAAAACATTACTGCTATAGACTCCTTCGGAAAAAGTTTAGTTCATGCTAAAACTATGCTCTGCGTCTTCCAGAAAAGCTAGAACATTATATTTCAAAATAAAAATAAATAGTTTGCAAAACAAACCAGTCTCCTACAATGGAGAAATGCAGAAAGCTGTCGGAAACTTTTTTCTCTTTGTACAATCTTAACAAAAAAAAAAGCAACTTGTGTTCTGACTTATTTTCAGGAACGTAGGAGTGCATTAGAAGATTTCTGATTTCACAGTAAGTCTGTGTACCTCCTGTGCTGTAATGGTCCTCCCAGGTTTTAAGCACTGATCATGCAAAATAGGTACAGAAAGGCAGAGGGACAGCTTAATGGTTTGGCTGGTAGACTGACATGCAAGAGTTGTCTCTCTTTTATATGTGTCACCTCACCCTGACGCGTTAACGCACAAATTCAGCTGGTCCCAGCATGGTTCCAAGGACAGTTAGAAACATGCTAGTGCTTAAGCATCAGTACTGCTGAAGCAGCAGTGGGATCACAAGCGAGCTTTCCTCGGACTGGAGATTTCTGGCAGCTCTTCTGCTTTGCTTCT